GTGACATTGGCTTTCTTCCAGTCCTCAGGCACCTCTCCTGATCTCCAAGACCTTTCCAAGATGATGGAGAGTGGCCTAGCAATAACATCCACCAGCTCCCTCGTGAATGCATCCCATCAGGGCCCATGGATTTATGGATGTCAAGTTTGGACAAAAGATCTCTAACCTGATCCTCCTCCACCAAGGGAGGGTCTTCCTTTCTCCAGCCTTCCTCTCTTGTCCCCAGGGTCTGGAATTCCTGAGGACTGGCCTTAGCAGTGAAGACTGAAGCAAAGACAGCATTCAATAACTCTGCCTTCTCTGTATCCTTTGTTACCAGGGCACCCGCCCCATTCAGCAGCGGGCCCACGTTTTCCCTAGTCTTCCTTTTGCTATTGATGTATTTGAAGAACCCCTTCTTGTTGTCCTTGACATCCCTTGCCAGATTTGATTCCAACTGGGCCTTAGCCTTCCTTGTCGCATCCCTGCACACTCTGACAACGTCCCCGTATTCCTCCCGAGTGGCCTGTCCCCTTTTCCACAGTCTGTACCCTTCCTTCTTCTGCTGGAGTTTTGCCAGGAGTTCCTTCGTCATCCATGCAGGTCTCCTGCCCGCTTTACTGGAAATATAAATGTGGAAATGTAAATAAACCTGAAAGCTAAGTTTTGTTCAGTTCTACATGTAGAAGCCAAAGCTGAACAGGCTTGTCTAAATTAGCACACCAGGACAGTGCTGCATCTTGTGTCTGATCCATTTTGTGCAGAATAACTGAATCTTGCTTTGGGTGTGATAAGATGGAGATGCAAAAGTTTTCTGTTAGGCTGATGCACCAAGGTGAGGGTTGAACAGGAGAAGGCAGTGATGATTGCAATGGTTCCTGTCTTAGCAAAGATTTTTCAGTTTAAATTGAAACATGGTCTCAAACTTGCTGATATATGACTGTTCATTTTATAAAAGTGTAAGGTTCTTTCAGTGGCATCTCTGGGAAAGTCTCAACATATTGAAGATTATTCTAGGATGGGATCCTGAATGCTTCTTGTCTGCTGATAGCCTGTGTTTGGCCTGGGTTTGGTTTCTGTTATCACCTGCTATGTGAAATTACAAAGTCTCTCTGTAGTATGTATAATTATTGGTTTGTATGCTTCTGCTCATGTTTAGGAATAAGCATACTTCACCCATAGCATTTATGTTTTGTAGTTGCCAGCTTTTAATTTGAAGTGTGGGTGGGAATAATCAAAAAAACCCCAAACCCTCAATCTTAATATGCAAACTTGGAATTCAGACATCGTGTACGTGAGTACAGACCCTGATGGGGAGAGCTACAAACCAGGTTCTGTGTAGCTGTGGAGAGGTGAGTGATAAACTGGTAAGATTTAAAATCTTTAGAAACTAGGAGCTTAAACAGGCAGTTGTTCATGCTTCTGACTTGGGGGGAAGATGTGAATTTTTGTGAAATTTGAACTATACTTAAAACCTTCTGACCTAGTGTTGAAAGTGGTTACTTCTGCTACTTTTCGCAGCTGTCATTCTCTGTAATGCAGTGATTCCTGCAGAAAATGATCACAGGACTCTATCTTAATTTTACAGATCTTCAAAACAACTTTTAATGATGTGAAGACTTGATTTTTTTGACACATTGACTTAAACTTATTGGACCTGCATATCATCAATGACACTGACACAGCTTTTACTGAGTACAGTGAATGTGTCATGTGATTAGTTGAGAGTTTAGGGTTTTTCTCCTGTCTGCTAGAAGAAAAATCAGAGACTGCCTCCAGTTTTACCAGTTTAAAGACCCGTATCTGTACTCAGTAACAAAGTACTGTAGCTGCCAGCCAATGATATGGGAGATGAGCAGACCACATTTGAACACTTGATACTTGTAGCCATATTGAATCTTGGTGGTCTTAAGGCAAGTTGTCTTACTCATGTGGCTGTAAGCCCTTCTTAGTTGTGGCATATCTAGTTTTGACTGGGAGCTTCTTTGTAGCTACAAGAAACTATTGCACCCAGCATATTCCTGTAGCGATTTTGACAAGTTGCTATTCCTCAGTATTTTTTCAGAAAGTTTCTGAACAATTGCAAGTCTAACCAGCAAATAGTACATACTGTTTTGCAACTCATGAGGCTTAGGCATAGACTGAATTTCTAGAAAAAAATAAAGTGATTGAATTCCAAATGCAAATCCCTTCAAATGCCTCTTGCGAGGCAATTTCCTCTTGAGAATGTTCCCAAGGCAGCATTAATTGCTTGCAGTTGACATTGGTGAGCGATAAACTACCCAAATTACTTGTGAAAATGCCTCTGGTATGTTTCACTCTCTGACTTTTTCCGCTATTTATTTGCTCAGATTACTCAGCCCTATGCTGGCCAAGGGTATATGTGTATGATTTGAGATTTTTCTATTTTGTTGTTGTTTTTTTTCCTGCCTAGGCAAGCCTTTCAGGACACTCTAGCATTCTGGGATTTCATTTATCGGAGTACTTGCATCCAGACTGTATGCATTTGGAGAACCCCAGTAGACTAACACGTTAGATCCTGATAACTGGTACGTTTCTGGATAAAGTCTAGAAATTGTGCCTTTGTTAACATGTTTTGGACAGTTTGATAGATGAACCAATTTTGTCACGCAAATTTAAACTTACTGAGATTGCTGTGAAAGAGGTTGGTCACCATTCACAGGGCAGTATTCAGTTGTTCAGGTTTGGTTCACTGTTTTATTAGATACCTAAGCAACTTTTTCCTAAACAGCGTTTAATTAGCGGAAAGCTTCTATTTGCGTTACTAAGTCTTAAACCTATGTCTTGAAGTGCAAATGCCATCCTGGACTGAAATTAGCATTAAACAATTTTTCTAAGAAAAAAAACTAGTAACCTAAGGACCTTTTCCTTCAGTGATACCTTCTGGCAGACTTTTCTTGCTCATGAAAAATGAGTGCTGTATAAGATTGCTTAGCTTTTTGCAAAATCAAAACTAAAGTTTTGTTATTGGAAGTTTTGGAAGGCAGTCATTTTTAAAATGGCTATTCCAATGGCAGAGCAGCTTATTGATGGTGGTCCAGATTACTTGCCAGTGTTGTCTACTCTTCTTGCAACAGCAGCAAGCAAAATAGAGGCGAAATAGATCGTACATTCAGATGCTTGTGTGTTCTGGGACCAAAACACAAACAAAGGAAATGTAGAAAAATAAAACACAAAAAAACCTCCTGTAGCAGAGCTGATCTCACTGTCAGAACCAGTTTCCTTTGAAGGGAACAGATTTTTTTTTTTTTTGGGTGTAAACACAGTGTATTTAGCTCTAGATGCTGTTGTCCCAGGAGAAAAAATGATTGTCAATTGCCTAGTTGCTCAGATGCCGGTAACATAACACTGCAGGTAAAATATTAATGAAATTGTTAGGACTGATAGTGTTGCTGGGTACTACTATAGTTCCTTGCTGAAAATTTGCAACCACCACTGCACCTTTGACTTCTAGTCATAAGGTTAGAGCTATTTCTTATGTTGCTACCAAAATATTATTTCCTGTAATCAGCTTATTGCAATTCTGTTAGGTTTTGTCCACTGTACATAAACAAACATTCAGTTCTAGTGATTTAAAAAAAAAAAAAAAAAGCAAAGGAACAACTGTACTAAGATCGCCTTTCTCTAATGAGCAAGTACAGCATCTTCCGGCTTAGATACTGCTGGGATGCTGTTGCTGTGCAGAAGTGCAGTCCTAACCAAGTGGAAACTGTTCTTGGCTGGTTGTAGTCTCTTCTGAATGAATGACCACTTCTACATAGCAAGCATTGTTAAGTCTGCAAAAACTGTGAGCCGATTAAACTTCTGACCTTGTTAAACTGAGAAATCCTAGGCATCCCAATTAATTCTTCAGTCTGTACTGCGGAAGAATACCATAGCAAGGATGCTGCTTTTTCAGTCGTTAGAGGCTGTAATGGTCAACTTTTTTTAGATAAGTCAATTGAGTTGTATATTGGTTGTACAGAATAATCCTCTAGAGCTAAATACTGCTGTGCTTACTGTATTCTGCTGCACTACAGATGGAGAAGATTCCAAATGCTCTGCGAACTAGTTCAGATTTTATGGTGTTGAATGTAGTCATATGCTGAACAAGATGTTAGCTTTAGGTGAAGATGCGTAAGGATATGTAATGCAAGGGAGCAGATGAGTCTTTTTGTGGCCTTAACTATTGGGATTCTATTGGCACTATTGTTACTCAAGCCAGAATACTGATACTGGCCATTGCATGTTGTGTAGTGCTCTACAGACCTGGAGGCACAGACACTTCATAAAATAATTCAGAAACATGAAAAGTTTTGAGTCGGCATATAACCTTAAGTAGTTTCAGTGTATACTGCCTAGCACATTGTGGTATATTTGCTTGGTGTTAAAACTCAATTGTAAAGGCAGATATTTAATGCAGGGTTATTTGCAATCCCTATTTGGTTAAAGAACTTGAACAGGATTGTTGGAGATGGGTCTCAGACAGTCTGTCTTGTTTATATTCTGCTATTTAATCAAGATCTTGCAGAAAGAGACTTGAACCTTGACCTTCGAAGGAAGTGCCATAATCAATGGGTTGTTGTCTTTTACAAGTTCTGTCAGGTCAAAACAAAAGCAGAGGGAAAGTTGATCCTTATTTGCACAAGAACTCCTATGAAAAATTTTCAGTTTAGATTAAAAACAGCAATAAAATCCAAGAAAAACTTAACTGAGAAATGGATGATGAATTTAACCAGGAGGTAGTAAGTTAATATCACTCTTGCAAGTTCCTAAACACTAAGAGAATAAACACTGGCTTTATGGAAAAACATGCACAACCTGTGTTTATGATGGTGATTGCTGAATTAACAGTAGCTAAGTATGTAATTGACCACGTGTGCAGTTGTGTACTGCAGCATACTTTGAAAACTCAATGAGCAGTCTTATGCCATTTTTAGCAGTCAGTGCTGTCTGATGAAGTTAAAAATGAGTGCCTGATGAAGTTGTAGAATAGAGTACCAGAATAAGTGAGATGTCTGCTGGAATTCTGATATGCACGTTCAGATAGATAATTTCAGTTATATTTGGTTATGTGCTTAATCTCAAATAATAAAACCAACTTCTTTGTTTACTCTTCCTTACGAGCTGGTATTTGTCACCGACTCGTGTGTTCTTATTCCTCTTACTTCCGTGAGTTTGATCTCGTTGGTAGCTGTAAAACACAGTTGGGAGGAAAGGCAAATGAGCTGGAAAAACTTGCTGGTTGAGGGAGCTTGAAATAACTTTGTGAGCTCTAGGTTGAATTAAACAAACTGGTTAGATTTGCATAAAAACATGTTTTGTGAGGCTATTGTAACTCAAAGCTTCACTGATGTCCAGCACAGCTGACTCTGCTCCCCTTAGCTTTACAGCTCCTTCAGGTTTATGTAGTCAGTAATACAGTAGGGTTAGTGCATGTGATGGTGGACCTGTAACAATCTCTTGCTACTTAGTCATAACTTGAAGTGTCCAGAAATGGAATCTAGTATTTGTGGACCTTTTTTTTTTTTTTATAAGTATCCTTGTTATTGAAGTACAAGCGGGGTTTGCCTTATGCCTTACGAAAAGCTACTGGGCCAGTCTTCTAGTCTTGAATGCAGAGTTCTCCGTGAATGCACCTCATAGCAAAAATCAGAAGTTGTGAATTATTAAAGGAATAAAAATTCTTACTATAAAGACGCTGTATAAATCTCCTGGAATTGAAGATAGGGAAGGTCAACAAGGATAGATGAACAGCTTCTGTACACAGAACAATTGAGTAGATCAGGGCTGTTCACCTTGAAAAAGCAATGACTATGGGAGGGGATAGAAGGGTCCAGAAACGGTCGAATCATTGCACTGAACCAAGCCTGCTGAGAATTATTCAAGGTACAGTGTTTCATGAGGAAAGTCTGAGCCCAGAATCACTGAAGGCTGTGAGAATAGCTCAGGGAAAGTGCTAGCATTTGTTACCCGTGTTTGACAACCATTATAGTCAATAATAAGAGTAAGATATTAGGGTAGGTGTACCTTGTAGACTACCCCAAAACATAAGGCTATACATGCTAATAATGTAGTTTGTGTGTTATATGGGTCCAATGTTTCATGAGAAGTTGGCACCTTTCACATAACTTCAGGATGTCTGATTTCTGCACCTGGCTGCTCAATTGTTGTTCTACTTGATTTCTTCTATCCTTCAGGGTCAAGTTCTAACAGCTTAAAATTCATGCTCCTTGATTGCTAATGCATGTACTCTGGTACTTCAGCATGTTGAAGCAGGGCAGCAAATCTCAGTATACTAAGTGGCAAAACCTGTTAGTATGTGCCTCTGAAAGTGATCCTGCTCTTTCAGTCAGACATACAGGTGTGATGGCTTGTGACCATAGCTTGTGCATGTTTTCTTCTTCCCATACCAGGTATCTCACAGTGATTTTTATTTTAAAATGGCTTTCAGTAAAACACGCGAAATCCCACAGAGTAGCGGAAAGACTTCTGTGTTACAAATGTAACACCTTCACAGTGCCAGTACTGATGATATTGTTTGTTCTTAAACAAGCAATCGTTTTAGCATATGAGCACTTGTAATTCACTATTAAGAGTATATTGTACTTGTAATGTTACAAATGTTTGGGGAAAAGCTGCTTTAGGAACGTGTCCTCTTCTATAACTGTTCAAATTAGCGTGGCAATAGACTAATCAGAATCTGAAGTTACTAAGGCTGTGCAGGGAGCAGTGAAATAATGATAGTGTGCAAGTGCAGTATTGTATCTGAAATTACCCGTCTTCTCAGTACCATCTAATAAAACATGCTTGTGCACCCTTGAATGAAGTGTCCTGGGAGCAGCCTTCCTTGTAGCAGATTTCACTAGACTCTGACCTGTATACTACTGTCTCTGCTTTCAGAAGTATCCGCTGAAAAATCTGACTTGTGTGATTGTATTGTATGCTAGAATACAGTTGAGTAAACTGGTTGTAGTGTAGTGCATTCACATATGAAATGTCTTAAATGTATATTTAGATACAACTCAAATGGTTTCTGACTTCAGCAACCACAGTAATCTTAGCAGTATAATACAGTTTTCTGCTGAAATGTATAGACACTGAAATAAACTTTTATCTAGTGTCAAAGCACGTTCAGGTGATGAGCACTTTTAAGACTGCCTTCCGCATGTCTGGGCGCACCCTCTAATTTCAGACTCTTTTTCTTCCCCTTGGAAGAAATGTACAAACATAGCTGATGGGTTTAAATAAACACTGTGGGTGAAAGAACTGAGTTCCAGATGGAGTACCAGGAAAAGCGTAAATTATTATTGTCTGCATTCTAACACTAACGCAAACTGACTTGCACTCTTGTAGTAATTTGTAAATTTGTAACTTGAATTATTCATAGTAATTTATGTTTTGATTCTTATTTACCCGGTGCTAAACTAGTCGCTATCCAACTGTTTCCCCTCCTTTTGTAGATGAGTAGAAGTTGCAGAAACTTAGAGCTGTGAGCCCTTTTCTGTGCATGTTCTGATGTACTTCTCTTGGATCTGGGGTTGGTGGCAGCCAAACACTTTAGGAGAATTTGCTTGCCAAATTCCTCTGCCCTTTTTCCAAGGTGATGGTTCTGTTCTCTTAAGCTCTTATCATATCTAAGCTGTTGAGGAAGGGAAAGCTTAAACTCTGGTAACGAAGACTTTTTTTGTGATGTTGAAGCATTTGGAATATACAACCGAAATCTGGCGAGTTGAGCTTTACTGGAAGCACGAGACAGCTGACCTCTTTTGCACTGCACCGGAGGGTATTTTGGAGGCCAGGCATGCAGAATGCCTGTTGACGTAAGACAAACTCAATGCAAGTTTATCAGTAGTGTTTGGCTTAGGGAGTTGCCTAAACCATTTATTGTCGGGAACAGGGGTAATATTCCTGGGAAGAGTAACTCTATTTTCTCTGTGCATCTGCTACCCGTGAGCCCTGTAGAGCAGTTACTGATTGACGTTAATCTTTCATTCCATCTAGTATTGCAGGTTTTAAGTCTGAAGAGTCTAGCATCACCAGGAAGTTGTTTCATAAGCCTAATGGAGAATATTAAGTGCTTGTAGAGTAGGAATATCAATATTTTAAGGACTAATATTAGTTAATCTACTCTAGAGTTTTACACAGGATGGTTAATCCTTAAAAAATATGTTTCACTGTTCTTCTGAAAGACTTTCATCTTTAGACTCTAAATGAGACTGTAAAACAGTATTTAAAACTGGAGTAGGTGATCATGAAATTATGATTTAAGTGAAATGTTACTTAAAAATAGCTGAATCAATGGAGGTTCTTTTGTATTTTTTTTTCCTGTTGTGTGAAGGTCTTGAGTGAGCAGACTTCAATAGGTACATGTACACATTTGTATCTACAACTTTAATCCTTGCTTGTGCGGGGGTTTTTCTTTTTGTTTTCGCAAAATGTGGTCACAAAACTTACTTCATTCTCAGAGCTTGTTAAGTATTGATTGAACTGAGGCTTACTCAGCTGTCTGTGTTGCATGTGAAGCTTTGGAACGATTAGCAATCCGTACTGTAAGCTGCTACTGTAAAGTCACTCTTCAGCCTCTTGGGATCTTACTCTTACTTCTTGGCATATTGGAGTTCCTTATTTTCTATAGTGAGAAAGCTCTTGAAAGAAATAAGAATGCTATTTGGACCTGAGCTAATGCTAAATCAAAATGGGATCCCTTTAACCTGATGTTGAATGACTTGATGAGCAAACTATATTATCATTTAGTCTCCAGACGAGTAGAAACTGGTTTTAATGTGTCAAAACAATGCTGAAAACAAAGTTTGCAAATACTCTTCAGTAGTTGATTCTGTGGCTGATTTGAATCAGTGGAAAATTATTCAGGGCAGGCTCTTATCCTGTCTCCAGGGAAGACTTTTTGAAAGAATTCTGGAATCTGTGTTCTTTTTGTGTGTGTGTTTTGGGGGGGGGGGGGGGTTGTTGTTGTTGTTTTTTTTAATCTGCTATTAGAATAAAGGTACTAATATTGTTCCTGCTTCCATAGGTACTGAAGAATAGTGGGCAGGCATAGGATTTCATCCAGCCTTAAGGAACCAGCAGAGTTTAAGCAGAGGCTTTCTAGTCCAGCTGTTTCATCCTTGATTTTCTTTGGAATTTGGTGGGGGAAGAGGAGGGGAAAACCTGTCTGATCTAGATGGCTTATTGCTGTCTCCTTGTCCATGGTCTTTTTACTGATGCTGAAATCTGAGATAGGTGCATGTAGTCTCCTGTAAAGAAAAGGCTGTGGACTTGAGGCATCTCTTACTTGGTCCCTAGTGAACACAAATTCCTGCAGTCCTCCTGGAATGGTCTTATTTTCTGAGTGTTGCTTTTATATCCAAACTGTTTATAGGCCGTACAGCCTGCCTGGGAAGCTTCATACCTTTGATGGGTTTGAAAAAGCACTTATCTTGAATGTAGTTATTCAAATCCGGTTCCCAGCTGAGGAAAACAGGGTTTAAGCAAAAATGTCAACATTTTGGAAGATGCATTCTTGCTCTTAGTAACTTACCTTCCCATGCTATTTATTGTGCTGGCTTTATCTTAACTCTTCGAAAGTATTTCTTGATAACTATTTGTTTTTTTTCTCCCCTGCTGTGGTTTTCATATTTGTTTCTGTACTTTGAGGGTTTAATTCTCCTGATGTTAGAGGAAAAAAATCAAGAATTACTGCTTTTCTCATTGCAGGCTAATCATTATCTGAAACGACCATTGATTAATATACAAAAATGCAATTGTGGTTTGGCTAACAATTTTTAATTTCTTTTTGCTTTTAGACCCTTTGGATATTCTTGGCAAGCATGAAAACGAAGAACTGTTCCTTGAGTGTCTTGCAGGACAGTTGATATGTTCCAGGGGAAGGCTGTTTGTTCTACAAAGTTGAGAAGAATCTGCGTTCTCCTGGATTTTAAATAAATATAAAATGAAAGTTTAAAATTTAGCCTCCAAAATGAATATTGAAAAGTTGGATGAAAAAGCAAAGAATGGCTTGAAGTCTTCATTGCTCGTAAGGGATGAAAATGGAAATAACTACACTTGCGACGAAGCTACATCTTGCTCAAAGAACTGTGCCACCAAGGTGCGTGGTAGTTCAACTGACCAAAATATAGTGACTGAGCATGACTATACCAATGTTGAAGATAAGAGTGACTTCAAGAGAATTCCTTTAAAACATCAGTGTACTGAAGCACCGGGTCTGCAGAAAACTCCTAGTGGGTGTAACTGCACAGGAGCTTTATTAGGAGATACAGATGATACATGCAAGTCATCTGTGACAGAGCAGACTTGTGCATGTACTTTGAGCTATGACCTGAATGAAACAACAAGCTTCCCGAAAGATAACCTTGCTATGGCAAAAATGCAAAACCCGAATATTGAACAATTGGTGCCTTACAGTCAAACTGACTCTGACTGTGTATTGCCTCTTCCTGCTTCAGAGCAGGACACGCAGTCCGTGATGAAAGATGGGGTACACTGCCACCTGAGCACAGTAGATGTTGCTAATGTTATGGGTGGAACAGTGGGAACTGATCAAAATGAAGACATACGTCTGAGGAAAACGCTAATATCTTCCGATGAAGTAAATACAAGAGAGAAATTTGATACAATTGGCCCAGGAAAAACACCTAATTTCTCTTCTCTCATGGTGGCTTCACAAGGCCCAAATGCCCATTTGGAGATTGAAGTGCTTTGTCCTGCCTCTGCAGATGTCAAACACTATCTGAAAAATATGAATAACATTGAAAAAGAACCACAGGAAACGGAAATACAGTCCGTAAAACTAGCCGCTGGATCTGTAGATCCTCACAGGAGAGACTTCTTATCGCTGCCCGTTAGCATGTGTGAAGATGAGCAAAAGAAAATCTTCCGGCCTACACCTGAGCTTGATGGAACTGGACATTCCACTGGTGAAACACAGAAGGGTAGACCTGTAAGCAACATACACCTCCTTCCAGTAGATACTACTGATGGAAAGCAAGTATCAAAGAAAACAAGTGAACATTTAACCAAAGAACCAAGTATCTCTAGAAATGCTGCTTTTGGAGATACGAACAACAGTCCTCTCATAACTGAGACGCTAATCTGCAGCGTACCAAAGCCAGAGAGGACTGTTAAACCTGAGCTGAAATGCGAAACCACATTTGTGGTCTTCAGTCCTGTGGCTGATGAAAGCGGTTCTGCTCTATGTACTTCAACCCCTAAAGAACGATCAAAAAATACAACTTTTTCCATTTCAGCTATGGCAGAATTTGGAGACAAGTCTTCTAAACTAATCCCCAATGAAGTGTTTGTGGGAGAGCATGATAGAAGGCCTTCGTTTAAAACTAGTTCATGTCAAGTAGCAGGAAAGCCAGTAGGCAGGTCTGCTATTGTGTCAACAATAACCAAAGCAAGGAAATCGGAGATTGTTAGTTTTCCCAGACCTAATTTCAAAAATGTTAAGCCAAAGGTTATGTCCAGACCTGTGCTGCAGTCAAGAGAGAGTGCATCATTAAAAGGATCTCCTCAATCCCCCCAACTATCGTCTATCTCCTCGACTTCACCAGTTGCTTCCCCGAGGCAATTGTCCCCTTCCATAAAGGTGCTGAAAAAGAAAATAGATTTAAGTAAAGATACTAAAGTGGAATTGCCTGTGAATAAGCCCCATAAGCTACATCTTAGCAAACATCTCTTCACTAGCCAAGTTCTGCATGCCACAACTCATCCCAGAAATGCTTCCCACAAGGCTTCAAAGACACCTGCATTAAAGCAGAATCTGGAAGACACTGGCAAAGCAAGCTCTTCCAATTCAGCTTGCTCTTTGCTTTCTGCTGCTCTTCTATTAAGGATAAATTGGAAAGTTCAAACTCTTTAACGGAGCCCTATGCTCAAAATAACTGTCAGACTGGAGTTGAAAAAGAGCAGCATGGCAATATGGGAATTCTTCTGGAAGCAGCGTTGTTAAAGGATAAAGCGAATGAAACGTTTGACTTGCGCTCCGATTCTTTGGTAAGTGTGGTTTTGTTTTTTAAACATAATTGTATGTGTGTATGTGTGAAAAAGGCAATTCTGCATTGCACAATGTTGAATGGAAATTGTTGGATGCAGTTTGCGTCTACTAATGTAACTGTAGATGACTAGTGCAATTGGAATGAAATTGTAGATTCTTGAGGTAAAGTCTCCCCTCAGGAAAGGGAGAGAAGTACAGTTTCACTAACTGCTTGAATTTTTAACTAAATGGTAAGCACTTGACTTCAAGTGCTGCTTATGTCTTCAGCTTTCATTTTATTTCATGGTATAAAAACTTGTCTATGAAGTCTTGTTAAGACAATGCTGTCAGTAAGATTTCCAATGAAAGTATGCAGGTCTTAATTTGGTCAAACTAGTAAAATTGTCTAGCATAATTCGTTAAGATTTTTCTAAATATGCATATTAATATGCACTCTTATCAAGGTAACTTTAGCAGTGCTCTAAATAGAACTTAGAGATAAATTGTTGGTTTTGGCAATTACAGTTTTTTCAAAAACTTTTAGAATTAAATTATATGTTTTAAACTTTCTTATGGAAATATTGCACATATATTAACAATTTTAAGTGACACAAAATCCCAAGGTCAGCAAGTTGGTCAAGGACTTTATTGGTTTTGTAGCTTAAATGTGTGCTTTAAATAATTTGGGAGTTTTATTTGAAGTAAAGACAGGGCTTGTTAGAATAATTAGACCAGCCAGGAAGTGTTTTAATGTTTTTCATGCAGAAGACTACTTGTGCTTTTTTTTTTTTTTTGGGGGGGCTTTGACATGTCCTATAAGAGGCTGAATTCAGGAGATCCATCATCTCCAAGACCCTTTGTGAACAAGTACACATGCTAAACACACCAGCCAGGGCAAAAGGCTCAGTTGTTTAACAATTAAGAGAAGGAAATAGAGAAGTCAGAATTAGAAAGAAGATGCTTCTTATTTACAGATCTTTCCTAATGGAATAGCTTTGGGGTTGGGTGGAAGAAATCACAGAAGGCATCGCAGGGATGCGGAGCTGGAGTCTTGAAGCTGTGTAGAATCTCTTCTGTTGTTCACTCACGAGTTCAACAGTCTTATTTTAAGTCAGTGAAATGGAGGCAGCGTGTGTCATCAGTAAAACTGTCGTTGCCAGTGTTTTTGGCAGGCTCTGTCTAGATTTGTCAGAAAAGCTCTGATGTTCAGTAGGTGGAGGAAGTTACTTCAGGTGAAGTAGAAGTAGCTGTTCGTTTTTGAAGCATTGCAGAACAAATTGATAAATAGTATTAGGCGTTACTCAGAGACCTGAATGGACGTGAAAGCAAGGACTATTTCTTTTAATTCTGAGGTCTTGTAAAGCTTGGATTCTCTCGCCCCTTCCTTTTTGAAAGTGAGGGTTGAAGAAGATGCTTTTAATTTGTTAGGATGGAAATCCTTGCTGTTTTAACTGTGCTGTTGGTACTTGGAAAATGCATAGAATAAATTCTCTGAAACTTCTCCCACAGTAATCAGATGGAATCCGTTTAATGTTATTCTCTGGTAAGTGGAAGTTAATTCCTGAAAATGAAGATTGCAGTCAAAAGTGTAAAGTGCATGTGATATGACCAAATCATTGTGTATCTGTTTGAGCTGCAAAAAAATCAGGAAGATGGCAGATGCTTATTGGCTTGCCTTTATAGGTTTACCTTTATAGAATGAATAATTCTGAGTTAGTGCCTGCTTAAACAGGAGCAAGAATTTTAGCAAGAATTTTGTACAAAAGATAGATGAGGGCTATATATACACCAGTGTTTTTTAAACCTGTCCTGGACTCCTACCTGAATTTGTAATTTGGCTGTGCACTTGAATGTGAAAAGGTTTTCCTGTTTCAAAATCATAATTCAAGACCTAGACCAGGAAGCTTATTACACTAGCTGTGATATTTCAGATAGTACAGGATAACGTAACTATTTAGTATGTTAATCTATGTAGTTGCTTGGTAAAGAATTCATCTTGATTAGGTGCATTTGTGTGATCAGATGGTTTAATTAAAGCTTTGGGGGAGCAGGATGGGAACCTTGACCTAAAATGATAATATATGTAACCTGTGTAGCATGTTTGTCATTATCAGTGACTAGCTTAACTTTTATGTTGCTTAAGGCCATTTAAGAGATTATTTTTGAAGCTCTCAACTACAGATAATATTGCTGACTGCTTTCTTTTGTGGACCATGTGACAGCAAACAGCTAAACGTGTCCCTTATCTGAGTTGTCAATATTTCATTATAGATACCAGAAAGATTATTATTTATTTATTTATTTTAAATAGATATCTTCCCCAAAAGTTGGGGCAGCACAAGGGAAAGATACACCAAAGAAAGGGCCAGTCACACCACGAAGTGCATCAGCTCCCAAGGTTAAAATAGTATCATCCATGTTTCCCTTGAAGAGAGGAAGTGAAAATATCTGCACAATTAAAGGACCTTCTCACAAAGGAACTGTTCTGTCCTCAAGCTCTGGTAAGATAATTTGTCCCTGTAATATCTGATCTAATTCTTAAAATTAAGATAGCACATTTAATGTACTTCGAAGAGAACATTTAGGATGGCATAGAGCTATATTTTTAATGTTATATGTGATTCTATCTAAATTGCTAATACAAGGGGGGGAAAAAGGGCAGATTCCACCCAGTCATCTTCATATTGTGTCTGGTAAGGAATGTGTTTAGGAGGGTGTGGTGCTATTAGAAGAAATAAGATTTTAAAGTATTATGTGTAGTTTGGTTATATAACAGAGCTTTGTGGAAGTATTGCTAGAACTACTTGGAGTGTGAAAGTGAAAAGGAGAAAAAATAGACCTTGGACACAGAGTGTGTAGGACAAGTGGCTTTATACTATTCCAAGGAGAATGAGCCCTCGTTTTGGAACATAACATGATTTATTCAACCTAGTTTCAATAACTCTGTTCCCTAGAAAGGGGAGAACGTAACTGAATGAGACCCTCCAGTTTGAGCTTGCGTCTAATTCAGCTCTAGCTAATTAATACTGAGGAGAAAAATCTCAAAACTAGTCTATAGGGTGCTGTTCAAATTTGATGACTGCAAACTATATTCTGTAATTATACGGTAGAGATTCAGAAATGCTCCTGTGAGTTACGTGCTTTTTTTTTTTTTTAAACGTGGCAGTATAGCTAATGGCAAAGGTAGCTTGACTACAAATGTCTACACTACAATACATTGTAATTTGAAAAGTGCGCACACCTAGCTATATCCAGCAAAACCTGTTCTTCATTTTTTTTTCTCACCTACTCAATCTAGAACTATAAAACAGTGCAAAATACTGCCATTAGTTATATGCGAGTGGTGAAATGAGATTAGAAATCTATCTCTGCAACTCTTAATGGAATGAGTTCCTCAAAGAAAATGGATTTACGCTATTCTGTCTTGAGTGTTGCTAGTGTGAAAGACTTGTTCATTGAACAAGGTACCTGTAAATCACCAGTTTCTTGGAAGACTTATCACCACTCTTAAAACAGCAATTTAGAGCTTTCCTGTCCTTACCTATGGTCTTAAAAGAACTGAGATAAGTGGTGGGTGTTGTGGTTGTTTGGGATGTGTGTGTGTGGTGGGTGTTTTCTTCTTTTTATTTTTTCTTTTCTTCCCTTTACGCTATTAATCCAGAGCAGTTTTGTAACATCGTCACTAGGAATATATGTAAGCAATATGATGATGAAGTCCTGCTTCTAGAAGTACAGTGCGCTTTTTTTTTTAATGAAGGGAAGAAGTCATTCACAATAAGCACCTTTTTCCTTTAACCTTCATATCCCAACAACCTGGTTGCTTCCTGAGGTAATAGAATAAATTCAGCTAATTCTTAGCCAGTTGCTAGGTGTATTTGGATCATCTGACAGGGACACAAATAAATGTAGTGAGTCTATCGAGTACTCTGATCGCTGAATAAGAGAGGTGATGCTATAGCACTGTGTCATGTCTCAAGTGTGTATACTGCAGGAGAAAAAGCAGTCAATCCATCCTAAGTCTTTTGTGTGTGTACCTTTCTTAGAATGAACAAGAACTTGTAAGCAACGGGTATATCATGAGCTGTCATTTTGGGTGAGAAGCCAGAAACTTCCCTACAAAAATTAAAAAATTAGTGTTAAAATCTTTGAGCAAGCTGACAGGAGTAGAGATTTTGATAATTTCTTTTTAAGTTATAAGCTAGCTTTCTTCATAGATAACACTAAAATAATAGGAGGCATATATTCTAAGAAAATTCCCTGGTCCTCTCCCAAACAGGAGGGGGCAGAGATTTGTTGTCTTCTCTCTCTCCTGTAAACACTATCTTAGCATTCTGTTTTTTTGTAAGCTTACATGCAGAGCACTTTAAGCTAGAGAGAAAAATGTCCAAGTCCTCTGTGTGTGTTTATTTCAAAATGATTACTGAACACTGTTTACCAGTACTACTGTAACTTGGTTGGAACCTGAAACTTCTGCTGAATTAGAAATTGGCTCTCTAAGAGGTGAACCCAATTGGATTTCTCATACCAATGTGGTTTTTGAAATGGAGAAGATCCATTTCTGCAGCGAAGATAACTCCAAATCTAACTAGATATCTCAAAATATTTTCTCCCTTCTGTAATTATTTTCCCCCTTTTATGTAAGAAGGAATGACCTGCAATCACATACTTATTCTGGAATGAAAATCATAATTCTCTAAAGTTGACTTTTCCATAATAGAGTAAAAGAAAAATTTGTGTAGTACTGGATGACAATAAGAATGCCTTCTATATGTTTCTATTAGTAAAAATATCTACTAGAAATCAAGACATGGAGAATGAAAGTGTTTGAGCGGCCTTGGTGTGCGTGTAACTTGGTGTGCGTGTAATTTTTGTAGTCTTGGTTAAGGTCTTTAAAGCAGCCCAGAAATGAGGGCAACTATTGTTTTCGGTCCCAGCAAACATGCGCAGCCATCTAATTGGATATACTTAACCACTGTGGAAAAGTAATAGCCTGCTAATAGCTGAGGTGATATGGTTTTGGTAAAGTCATGTCTTTGACTCGAAGGGGAGGTGGTCCCTTGGAATGTCAACCCAATTTCTTGCTCCAAAGTCTTTTACTGTGAACCACTTCCAAAAATTACATACTGCCACCTATGCAATTGGAATGAAGTGCTGGTCAGGCTGGGCCACAAGGAATTTGATTTGTGTTTGAACAGTGTAAGATAAGAACATATGTGATTACTTTTAGATCTACAAGTAAATTGCCTACCACTGTCTCTTTTTAACTTGTGCTGAATGCAGCCTACCTATTAGTATGTAGAATAAAGGGGGTCTTATGCCTTTCCTACAAATAAGATTTCTGCGTATACTTTACCTACACTTAGCCTTAATATTATATCATTGTTTTTGATTATTCCCCATTATACAGAACTTCATGTTACTGGTGCTGTCTTAGTGAGCTTTGTCAAGCCTTACGAGCAATTAAAAATTAAAAAAATTTGGGGATCTCAAAGTGCCAAAAGCATTATTTTTTCTGATGACTGTTTAAAAACTTCCAGAAATCAAAGCAAGCCATTTGAACTTCATAATTCTTCATAATCAAAGATCCTTTGCCTCTATTTCTAAAGTGTAAGATCATCACCTGACAGTTCGTTCTGTGATTCCACCAACTGTTCTGTCTCTTTTTAAGTCACTGAGATCTTGTTAGCAAAGTTATCGCCATGTGCTTTGCTTGGGTTTTGTGCGAGTCTAATCTAATGGCCCTCCCTTTCCTCTCTTGCTAATATTTTCATAGCATATAACTAGAGTAATGAAAGCTTGAGGAGAGGGGAGCTCAGCACTGAATTTCGTTGTTCTTTAGAAATCACGAAAAGTTGACCATACTGAAGGACTTCAGGACTTCTGCAACTAACTGAAGCAGGGGGAGAAATAATTCAGATAGCTTTCCCCATACATTATAGCAAATATGTTTAAGTTACATTAGAAATACCTTAAAGGCTTTAGTGATGTCCTGAAATACTGATTCTTTTGTTAGTTTGAAATTGTTAAATTCTTTCCATTGAATTTTTTCCATGATCTTATGGTTAAATGGGTAATTCAGAGAAGCTTCCAAAGTGTTAAAACTAGAACAGGCCATGGGAAATGAAGACAGTGTTTATAACTGAGTGTTGTTGCAATTTATTGCACGAAAAGTCTTTGAGATGAAAAATCAAAACAAAATGGATTTCCATTGTGTTTCCATACAGCTAGAAATGGCTAGGTAAACTTTATAATTCAGGACTATTTTTTTCACAATACTAACAAAGCAGAACCAGAGCAGTTTAGTTTTAATAAGTGTTCTCAAAATCTTGAGTTTCTGTTCTGATGCTGAACCTACGAGCTTAACTAAACCTTATTACTGCAAATCACTGTGCAGCTTCTATCATTCCTGATATCCACCATGTGACTCTTTAAAATTGGATTGATGTGCTGCCAAGAGGAAACAAAATACTTTTAAAAAGTGAGCATAACTTCCAGGTTTTCTGGCCTGAAACTGTCAGAACTTTCTCAAAATGCTGGTCTGGAGAGTTATCCTGTAATTGTATCCTGTATCCACCATTTGTATGCGTTTTCTTGCATTGTCAAATCTGCAAATAAGGTTAAAACCTTATTTCAACCCCTCTTACGCTTTTTTCTTCTTTTTCAGAACAGCCAGCCTCCTTCTAGGGATCCTAAAAGCAGTTTTGTCAGGCACTCACTTGTCCAAGATATTATTTTTCCTTCCAGCCATGAGTCCGGTCTAAGTGACTTCCTTTTCACTGTATCTGTAGTGCTTCGTTACAGTAGTTGGTCAGCGTAAAAGTTAACTTTAAACTCCTATATCCTTTTTTGGAGGTGTGGGAAGGGGACAACCAGTACATGGGTTTCCATGAAGCGTGGTATGTCTGTAACATGATACAAACCTTGGCAGACACCTGAAAGCCTCAGTCTGACCTTAATGTTATCCAGCCAGAACTTATGCTAAAGGGATGGAGAGGGTCAATGTGTTCCCTGCTGGAAGGATGTCCTTGCTAGGTGGCTGTGGGGAAGGGCCTTGACTCATCTTGAGTAGGTTCTTAAACAGCATCAACCTGCTTCGTGATCTTTACTGACAAAATCACTGCTCATCATGCTGCTTCTGTCTGTTTCTTTTCCTTGTTGAGTTTGTTACCTTCTCTTGGAGTTTCAGCCATGGGAAAAAGTTATCTGGTTCGAGAGGGAAATCTAACAATTTAATGCATCTGAAGGGCCTTTTGCCCAGTTAATCAGTTTGTTCAGGAAGCAGTGCTAGTTGTGAGGGCTTGGGAATCTTGCAGATCTTCCTTTCTCTGGAAGTCTCTGATAGCATGGGTTAGACTTCCCAGCTAGTGTTTCTACTCCAGCCAGCCCTTGCTTCCTGACTGTCCTTGGGAGCTGCCTGAAGCAATGTATATCGCTGTGCCAAGTACTGACCTATCTGTCTCAGGTACTCAATCATTTGTGTACAGAATGGTCTATTCACATT